AGTGCCGGCCACGCTATCGCGGATGACCTGGTGCATGTCGAGCAGGGTCTTGGCCGACAGCACGGCGTGCGCGCATGCGTCGATCCAGGCCAGGTGCCCGTGGTCCAGCCACGCGTTGCACCCTGTGCCATAGTCGTGGGTGCGGTGTGTGCGGTGTGTGCGGTGTGTGTGCGCGTGGTAAGTGCGTGCGTGCGTGGTGAGTGTCGTTCGTTGTGTGCATGCGTGTGCGTGCGTGTGTGCGGTGGGAGGGTGACTGTGTACCTCCGGGGATGCGCGGCTGGTTGTCCATACCACAGCCGAGACCACACGTGTAGTAGGACCCGTCGGGCCACGTCCTGTGCTTTCTCATCCTGCAATGCGACATGAAACGACACACGACACGACACACGACACGACACACGACACACGCCCGACACCGCACACGACACACGACACACGCCCGACACGCCCGACACGCGCGCCACCGCACACGCACACGGTGATGGTGAGAAGAGATTTATTCGGTAATATGGGGGCCTTGGGCGAGGGGGCGTACCAGCGGTGGTAGCCCAGGAGAGGGAAGAACACGTTCTTGACACGCTGGACGTCCCCGAAGTTCTTGAAGTACTCCCACTCCTCCCACGACAACACGTTCGGACCTTCACCACCACACACACACGGAACACGCACACACACATGCGACACACGCACCACCGCACACACGGCGACACGACACGACACGGGCGGCACACAGCACGCGCGGAGTGAGCCGGTGCTGAGTGAATGGCGTGAGGGGGGGTGGGCGCTTGTACCGGTGGAGGAGGGGTCGTGCCGGTGGAACTGGTCCTCGCCGTCCCACTGGTGGATCTCGCGACAGATGAACCTGCGCGTGTCGTGTGTCATTCGTTGCGTGCCACATGCGCGTGTCGTGTCGTGTGTCGTGTGCGTCGTGTCGCGTGTCGCGTGTCGTGTCGCGTCGCGTGTGGAGGTGTGTACCCAGCGGGGTGCTGCTTGGCGTAGAAATTGTCCAGCGTGCGCTGGAAATCAAAGGCGCGCGACCCATAGCGGGCGAAGAGGAGGATGAAGGCCGAGTCCCACATGAAGAGGCAGTCGTTGAAGGTCGTGTCGATGAAGTTGGCCACGAACCCGCTCTCCGTTCCCGCCGGCTTGATGTTGCGAAACGCCTGCGCCACCCACCACACCACCACCCACCACCTGACATCAGCCTTCACCGCACACACACGACCGCACACACGACCGCACACACGCGCGTACGATCTGCCAGGTGGTCCAGTAGCAGTCGATGGCGTCGGCGTGGCCGGCCCAGAAGGGCGCGGGCAGGCGGGCCTGGACGTGGTCGAAGGCGGGGACGGGTCCGACGAAGGGCCCGACCAGCGGGGCGTCGGGGTCCCGTGGCTTGCCCTCGACGAAGGGGTTGCGGCCGGCCATGTGGTCGTTGTAGTAGAAGTCGAGATAGGCCCTGGTGTTGGCCTCGGCCTGGCGCACGTACATGTCGCGCCACTCCTCGTAGCGGTACTGCTGATGGTTGAAGTTGTTGTTGATCCTTGGCACAGGCGTCTGGTGGTGCTGCTGCTCTTCTTGCTCTTCTTGCCCTCCTCCATCTTCTTCGCTACGCGGCTCATTAAAATTGTGTGTGACTTCTTCTTCACCTTCGCTACTTGGCTCAAGGATTTGTGTAGAATCAGTCGATTCTCGATCCAGAGGGACTGGTCGAGTGTTCGATTCGGGTGCCGCATGGGGAGCCGCTCCATCTGGCTGGAAATCTGGGTGGGGCACGGAGGCGAGAAAGAGGAAACACATGCCGGTGAAGGAGAGAAAGAACAACCCCACAATCCAGCCAAGTCCACCCTCATCCTCATTTTCTACACGAATCCTTGCGTTGATCAAAAATCGCGCGAAAAACCATTGCAACGGGTTCAAACTCGCAAAAAGAGAAGAATTTGACGTGATTTGGTAAAATCTTCTGCACAATCACCTCGACGACGCGGCAACGATGCCATTCAAGGAAGTGGAAGGTACTAAATCGTGTGGATCACCGACATCTTGTGTCCAACTAACGAAGAACAAGCGGCGAGGGCAGAAAAGCCGGGAAAAGTGAGCTTTTCTCTGTTCTCGACTTTTTCGCGTTGGGCTCCCTGGGCTCGGGAAATGGCACGGATCCATTGGCGAAGAAATTTCAAACTCCTGTCGACAACATTATTTGACGCCGGCAAAACCCCGTCCGCTCGGTCCCCTGTCTCGCTCGTGGGCGCTTCTGTTTCTTTGTTCGTTTCGTGCCTGTCTCAACCACACCACCGTTCCAGCATCCAACATGGGCGACCTCAACAAGAAGAATGATCTCACCTCTTTCCTCATCGACTTCCTGATGGGTGGTGTCTCCGCCGCCGTCTCGAAGACCGCCGCTGCCCCCATCGAGCGCGTCAAGCTGCTCATCCAGAACCAGGTACGCAGCCGCCTGAGCTCTCTTCTACTTCTATTTCTTCAATCACGATTGGGAGCTCCGCATTCGCTAATCGGGACCACTTCGCTCTCTACTCGTGTAGGATGAGATGCTCAAGACCGGCCGTCTGGCTGAGCCCTACAAGGGTATCGGCGACTGCTTCAAGAAGGTCATCGCTGAGGAGGGCTTCGGCTCTCTGTGGCGCGGTAACTTGGCCAACGTGCTCCGTTACTTCCCCACCCAGGCCCTGAACTTCGCCTTCAAGGATCAGTTCAAGAGGATGTTCGGTTACAACAAGGTACATGCTTGGACGAATCTCTGCTCGATTTCTAACACTCTCGGCCCAATTTCGCTCAGACGCTGACATAATCGCTTGAATTTCCTCTCGGACAATAATTTAGGACCGCGATGGCTACTGGAAGTGGTTCGCTGGCAACCTTGCCTCCGGTGGTGCCGCTGGTGCCTCTTCGCTGCTCTTCGTGTACTCGCTTGACTACGCCCGTACCCGTCTTGCCAACGACAACAAGTCGGCCAAGAAGGGCGGTGAGCGTCAGTTCAACGGTCTCTTCGACGTCTACAAGAAGACCCTCAAGTCGGACGGTATCGTCGGTCTCTACCGCGGTTTCAACATCTCGTGCGTCGGCATCATCGTCTACCGTGGTCTCTACTTCGGTCTCTACGATTCGCTCAAGCCCGTGCTCCTCACCGGCTCGCTCAGCGATTCGTTCTTCGCCTCGTTCCTCCTCGGTTGGGGTATCACCATCGGTGCCGGCCTGGCCTCGTACCCTCTCGACACCGTCCGTCGTCGCATGATGATGACCTCTGGTGAGGCCGTCAAGTACAGGAGCTCTGCCCACGCTTTCTCCGAGATCGTCAAGAAGGAGGGCGTCAAGTCGCTCTTCAAGGGCGCTGGTGCCAACATCCTCCGCGCCGTTGCTGGCGCTGGTGTGCTCGCCGGTTACGACAAGCTTCAGGTCCTCGTCTTCGGCAAGACCTACGGTGCTGGCGGCGGCTAAGTTCCCCACCCCCCCCACATCCGTCTGTTCTATCACCGTTCGACTCGCACGACCAACACTCAGGGCTGCGACTCGCTCTTAGGAGCTGTCGCAAACCCACGAATCATAAAATCTTTCAAAACTCTACTCCATTGTCCTGCGCATTTCTTCTTTCCCTCATCTAGACTGCTCTTCATCTAATGTTCATCAGAATCTAGATTTTGTTGGGATTGGAAAAACTGACGGCAGCACACACACTGGTTGGTTCGCAAGCGCTTGGCTCTAGAGTTGTGGGTGGTCGTAGGTTCGGACGGGGCTGACGATGTTGCGGCAGTCGGGGTTCACGCAGGCCGGGCAGCGCAGGGTGTACTGCTCCGAGTGCAGCTGCACAAAGGGGGACCGGACGTGAGCACGCAGAAGAGGCAAGGGGAGGGGTTGAAGCGAACGAACGCACCTCGTTGGTGTTGAGGTGCTGCGAAACGATGTCGGCCAGGGCGCGGGCGAACCGAGGGTCGTCGTTGAGGCTCTCGCTTCGCACGAAGTTGGTCACCCCGCTCTCCTTGGCCACCTGCGCGCGCCCCGGGAAGAAGATGTCGTCAGGGGTCGGTCGGTCAGTCAGTCTGTCAGGCGTTGACCGATGGTGGGGAGGCAATGGGTCTCTCTCTCTCTCTCTCCACGTACGTGGCTGATCTCCTTGTCGATCTCGAACAGCGTCTCGACATGGTCCGACGTGAAGGCGATCGGCACCACCAGCACGTTCTTCTCCCCGCGCTTGCCCAGCTTGCCCACCTGCACCATTTCCAACCCCCTCCATCAGCCGCCGCGCACGCATACGCCGCACACGCGCGCGCGCACACACACGCACACACGTACGACACACGCCGCACGCAAAAAGGAGAGAGAGAGAGAGAGAGAGAGAGAAAGGCGTACGACGTCGACGGTCTGCGGGCCGAGCCAAGCGACGGGTCCCACCTGGGACTGGTAGGAGAGGAGGTACCGGTTGCGCACGGGCGCCTGGGTCCGGCCCTCGGGCGACGTGGCCAGGCCGGCCGGGTCGACCAGGAGTTCCATCACCTTGTGCACCGTGGCGCCCACCTCCTGCGGGTAGGCGTCACCCCTGTCGATCACCTTGTGCGGCAGCGAGTGGGCCGAGAACACGATGATGCACTTCTCGCGGTCCGTTGCGCTCGTGAACTTGGTCTCGAGGCTCGTCCTGGGGTCATCATTCATCACCCATCAGCCGCGCGTGTGTGCGGTGTGTGCGCGTGTGCGGTGTGTGTCATGT